AGAAGAGAAGAGAAGAGAAGAGAAGAGAAGAGAAGAGAAGAGAAGAGGGAAGAGGAGGAAGTACTTCCTACTTTTGCAAAGGACCAGAATTCAATTCCCCATCCATGTTGGGCAGCTCACAACTGCCTATACCTCTAGCTCTAGGGGTCTTCAACACACTCTTCTGACCTCTGCAGGCACTGGTACATACATGGTATACAATCATGCAAACACATATATACATATAAGTAAAACTTAGATAAACCTTCAAAAAAACAAAAGAAAGAATATGCCCATACAATGATTCAAAATCCATGACAGTTTTGTCTTTTTCAAATCTCATACCGGAAGCCATGGAAATATCAATCCACAGGCAAATGGATAAACAAATAATGGTCTATCCATACAAAGAAATACCATACTGCCATTAAAAAGGAAGAAACTTGGGTCATGCTTGTTGGTGTATGCTCTTAATTCCAGCATTCAGGAGGTAAAAACCAGCCAGATCTCCATGAGTTCAAGGCTACACGGTGAGACCTGCCTGATGATGATGGTGAAACTTGGGGCTGCATCTGCACTCACGTGCACTATACCCATGTGAACGCACACATACACACACATGTCTACATCAAATAATAATAAAAAAATCTTAAAAAGGAAGATGCTTGATAAATGTTCTGCTGTGGCTAACAGTCAAAGCAATTCAGAGAGAAAAAAAAATCACATGAAAAAAAATATAGCCATGTTCTTATCAACAGCCCCAATTAAACTCACTGAATCGCTAAAAGAGAAAGAGAAAGTAAATGGGGAACTGGTGTGGGAGAAGTGTCTGTATTCTGTCAATCATATTTTAATAAAACGCTGATTGGCCAGGCAGGCAGTATAGGCGGGAAAGCCAGACAGGAAGTAGGGGCGGAGCAAAGAGACTGGGAGTATTCTGGAAGCAGAAGCTCCCTCTGCGACTCCTGCGCAGACCACCGAAGAGGCAGCATGTAACTTGCCCAGCTGAGAAAGGTACAGAGCCATGTGGCTAATGTAGATAAGGATAATGGGGTAACATAAGTTATAAGAGCTAATAAGTAGCCTGACCTAATAGGCCAATCAGTTTATAACCTTATGGAGTCCTGTGTGTGATTTTCTTTGGGCTTGCCGGTTGTGGGGTACTGGGCAGGACAGAAACCCCAATAAGCCAGCCCCTCATGTTACAGGGAACTAGTAGGGAAGAGGAAGTGGGTGGGGAAGAATAAGAGGGTGAGCACGATCAACATGTAATATGCATGTACGCACCATGGAAATACCATGATGAAACCATTATTATTATTATTATATAGATTTTTTGAGACAGGGTTTCTCTGTGTGGCCATGACTGTCCTGAAACTCACTCTGTAGACCAGGCTGGCCTCAAACTTAGAGATCCACCTGCCTCTGCCTCCTAAGTTCTGGAATCAAAAGCGTGCACCACCACCACCCAGCTAAAATCCATTATTATGCATAATTGATTTTGACTTTAAAAATAGAATACAGCATAAGTCCATTTATACAAAAAAAAATCTAGAAATTCAGACGAACTGGTAGTGACAGAAGAGAAAAGAGTATGGAGTTAAGGGTTGGGAGAAGAAGCTAAGAAAGACACAATGAGGCTGCAGAGATTGTTCAGTGGTTAGAGCACTGTCTGCTCTTGCAGCCGACCTGGGTTCGGTTCCCAGCACCCACATGGCAGCACACAGTCATCTATAACTCCAGTACCAGAGGATCTAATTCCCTTCTTTGACCTTAGCAGGCACAAGACACACAAGTAGGCAAACATCCATACATATAAGAATAAAATCAATAAATCTAAAGGCTTTTTTTTTTTTTTTTTTTTTTTTTTTTTTTGGAGACAGGATTTCTCTGTAGCTTTGGAGCCTGTCCTGGAACTCACTTGGTAGACCAAGTTTTTTGGTAGTTCCTGTTTTTCCTTTTCTTTTAAATAGTTCATGCTGTCCCACCGGTCCTGGGAATTGAACCTGGGTCCTCTGGAAAGGCAACAAGTGCTCTTAACTGCTGAGCTACCTCTCCAGGCCCTGGATGATGCATTCTTTGTTGTCTTGGTGGTTTCACGGAAGAACTGTTCCTGAACTCCTGCGACTGCCCTCTTTGAATATGCGTGACTGATGGAAACCGTGAGCCCAAACAATGTCCCTTCTTTGAGACTTTACAGTAATGTAACAGACAGCACTTAACTGCTGTGTGCTGTGTGAACCCACAGAGATGTTGGCTCTGGAAGTGACCCTGTCCTGCCCCACTTCAGACCCAAGCATACTATTGATGTCAGGTGTCCTCCAAGGCCCCTTGTCTGGGCATGCATTGGGTCCCCCTAATCCTGTGACAGGGAGGGAAGAGAGCAGCAAAACAGCCCAAGAGTGAAACACTGTGTCCTCAAGAACAGCTGGAATGGGGCTGGAGAGATGGCTCAGCGGTTAAGAGCATTGCCTGCTCTTCCAGAGGTCCTGAGTTCAATTCCCAGCAACCACATGGTGGCTCACAACCATCTGTAATGAGGTCTGGTGCCCTTTTCAGGCCTGCACATAGACAGAATGTTGTATACATGATAAATAAATAAATAAATATTTGGAAAAAAAAGAACAGCTGGAAGGTGACCCATTAAGAACAGCTGGAAGGTGACCCATTTCCAACAGAGGTCATTTCATACCCCATGGTATGAAAGAGCTGGCTTGGTAGAGTGGCACATACCTTTGATCCCAGCTCTCTGGAGGCAGATCTCTGTGAGTTTGAGGCCAGCCTGGTCTACAGAGTGAGTTCCAGGACAGCCAGGGCTACATTAAAAAAGAAAAAAAAAATCTCTGCAATGGAACTGCTGGGTGTTCTGACTGCATCAATTTGATGATGTTTTGCTCACTCTCTTCTTCTTTTAATTAATTAATTGTTCATATGCACAAGAGTGTACATGCCAGGAGCCTATGTGGAGGTCAGAGCAGAACTTATGGAAGTTGGTTCTCTCCTTCTACCTTGTGGGTTCAAGGGATCAAACTCAGATTGTCAGGCTTGATAGCAAGTGCCTACACCACGCTTAGCTATCTTACTACTGCGACTAGCCGAAGTAACAGTATGATGTTTGCATGATGGAGCTGCCCGCACGCCACAGCATGCTTTGGAGGGCAGAGGACAATGTTTTTGAGTCGGTTCTCTCCTTCCACCTTCATGTGGGTCCTAGGGATGGAACTCAGGTCATCAGCCTTCTACATGGTAAGAGCCTTTACTCAGTGAGCCACCTTATCGGTCCCATGTTTCTTCTTATTCCTGTAGCTTATAAGAGAGTGGAAGAACATGAGCAACTTACCAGTGACTACACCACTGAAGAAACATCCTTCCTTCCCGCAGCAGGCACAAACTCAGGGGCTTCCTGGGTCCCGCCCCACTCAGTGATGAAATGCTGGCCAAGCCAAACTTATTCAGGCTTTGGGAAGATGAACAAGCTGCTGCCAATTCAAGAGCCCACATTGTGCTTTGAACAACACTCTACCCTTTCCTCAGGCTCTTAGATTCTGTTCGTTTTCTTGTTTCCTTGTTTGTTTTTGTTTTATGTGCATTGGTATTATGCCATGGGTGTTGAGTCACCGGGAACTAGGGTTACAGACACTTGTGAGCTGCCGTGTGGGTGCTGGGAATCGATCCCGGATCCCCTGAGAGAACAGTCAGTGATCTTAGCTGCTGAGCCATATCTTTAGCCCTCGTTTTTGTTTTATAACATCTGTCTAACTGTCTGTCCATCCGTCCACCCATCTACCCACCCGTGTCTGTGTCTGTGTATTATGTCTGCACACATACCATAGAGTCATATACGGATCAAATTCCAGGAGTTGGTTCTGTCCTTCCACTATGTGCATCCAGGGATTCAACTCAGATCCTCCTTGGGCTCAGCGACTGGTTCTTGACCATTGAGCCATCCTGCCAGCCCTTGTTTCTTTCATGAGCTGAAGTCTGGCTATGTAGTCCCAGCGGAGCTGGAACTCATGTTCTTCCTGCCTCAGCCTCTGGGGGGCAGGGATTACAGGGGTGTGCCCCCTCATGCCACCTTTAGCTGACTTTTTTATTTCTGCCAACCCCATAGCTAATGAGATGCCTGGGCTCCAGCTATGTTGCCCGCAAAAAAAGGCAGCCAATGGTACGGAGTGTGAAATTGGCCCTGGCAGTAGGAAAGGGGGTGGAGACCTTAGCCTTGGCTAGACTTTAGCCTTCCCTTGACAGGAAGGGAGGGAGAGGGCTGAGGAACCAGACACAGGAAACGGCAGCCACAGACAGGACTTTAAAGGTCTTGGTGGTACCATGCGGTGGTGGCATGTACCTTTAATCCCAGCACTTGGGAGACCGAGGCAGGAGGATCTCTGTGAGTTTGAGGCCAGACTGGTCTATAAGAGCTAGTTCCAGGACAGGCTCCAAAACTACAGAAAAATGCTGTCTCAAATAATAATAATAAACCCAATATTTTAAAATATAAAATAAATATAAATATATAAATAAACAAAGAAAAGACTTTTAAAAATCAAAATGGTGGTATCCCTCCCCGAAGCCCTTGCCACTCTCAAGTTGCTTATCACTTATCTTTACATTTGATCTGCTCAAAAATAAAACACAAATAAGTATAAGAATCATCGAGCGGGACGTGGTAGCCCACACCCGTAATACCAGAACTCAGAGGAGAGAGCAGAAGACGGCAGCTGCAAGGTAGCAAATAAAACGTAAACCAGACTGAACTCTAACTCCGTGGTAGAGCAGCCTGTCTAGGAGCCCCAGTGAGGGGCTGAGGGTGTAACTCAACAGCAGAGCACTTTGTAAGGTGAACCCTCCGTTTCCAACCCCACGACCTCAAAGAAATAAAAAAGCCCTGGGGGTGGGGTGACGATAAAAGGGAATCAGCGTGAAAACTAAGATGAATGAGATGAACAGAAGACATCAGGAACAGAGCAAGGGACTAACTAGTCAGTCACCTCAGAGGTGAGAGTTGGCGGAGCCTCAAACTAAAGCTGTATCTGATTGTGTTGACCTCTGAATGGAAAGGTTGCTCTTCTTGGCCGCCAGGGGGAAGCTGGAGCAAAGGGCAGGCTCAAAGAGCGTCCTCAGAGTGGGGGATGGGACAGACAGCTTTCTAGGAGGGCACAGAAGGACCAGTGGTCTTTAAAACAAACAAACCAAAAAAAAGGAACTTATTTATTGCCAGAGACAGTGGCGCACGCCTTTAATCCCAGCACTCAGGCAGAGGCAGGCAGATCTCTGTGAGTTCGAGGCCAGTATGGTCTACCTGAGTTCCAGGCCAGCCATAACCATAGAGTGAGACTCTGTCTCAAAACAACAGCAAAATTTTATCTATTTATTTATTATGTACACAACATTCTGCCTCCAGAAGAGGGCACCAGATCTCTTTACAAATGGTTGTAAACCACCATATGATGGCTGGGAATTGAACTCAGGACCTCTGGAAGAGCGACCAGTTCTCTTAACCTCTGAGATCATCTCTCCAGTCCTTATCTACTTATTTTATGTGTGTGTGTGTGCCTGAGTGGATATATGTACACCATTGTATGTAGGTGCCAGAGGAAGCCTAAGGAGGGCATTAATTCCCCTGGAACTGGAATTACAAACAGCTGTGAGCCACCATGAGGACTCTAGGACCCAAACTCTGGTCCTCTGCAAGAGCAGCAAATATTCTTAAATGCTGAGCCATCTCTCTAGTCTCTGGGACTGGAGGGACGGGGGAGGGGAGAAGGTTGTGTTGTGTTAGTGAGAGCGTTTATGTGAGGCATGGGGGAGGGGGTTGAGTAAACAGACCAGAGAGGCAGGAACCTCCCGATCATCTCACTTAGGGATCAAAGAGGACAAAGGTTTCCAGAGTAGGCGGGGCCAAAGGAGATCCGGACAGGAAGAGACCCCTGAAAAATTCCCACGAAAAGCTGGCACTAGAGAAGCAGAATAGAGGAGTTCAGCAGAGTGTGAGGAGACGGACTGTTGATAACTCCAGCGACTATGGTCAAGGGAGAGCCGAATTGCGAGTTCACAGGAAAACGGTTAAGTGCCCAGGCTGTGGAGGTGCAGAGGGCTTGGGGATTGAGGAGAGACAGATGAGAAGGGACAACACGGGACGGGACACGACGACGGGGGTGCGGTTGGGGGGACGGGAACACGGAATTTCATATGAGTGGATTTCAGTTATGGGAAAGTGGCGGAAGAGCACACCTGCCGTCCTAGAACTGGGGAGGCTGAGGCAGGAGGATGGAGCCGGATTAGGAACAGTCCCTAATGCCCTCTTGGTTCCCATGCCTTGGTTTACGGTCATTTCCAGCGTTCCTGTTCAGCCTATGAAACCCGGCTCAGTCATCACTTCCTCAGATAACTCTTTCTGATTGGCTGGTCCCAGTCATGTGCTCTCACAGTGCTGCGTGTGTACATACAGGGAACACATTCACTATGTGTGTGGACGAGCTTGCACCCCTGTGGGGGAAATGTGACGGTGTGGGTGCGTATGGAAAACCGAAGTCAATGATGGCTATCACATGAACTTGTTTGTTGGTTTGTGTTTGGACAGAGAGAGCCTGGACCTCACTGACCATGTTAGACTGGCTGACCATCGAGTCCCAGGAATCCACCTGCCTCTGACGTACTGTGACTAGAAGCACGAACCACCATGCCTGGCTTTTTTCCTGACTTCCAGGAATTGTGCTCTGGTCCGCGTTCCTGTGCGACAAGCATTCACCGGCTGAGCCCTTGCTCCTGCCATACTGATTATTTTGGAACAGAGCTTTACTATGTAGCCCAGGCTGGCCTCAAACTTGGGACAATCCCCCTGCCTCAGCCTTCTTAGTGATGGAATTACTGCCAAGTGCAACCATGCTTGCCTCTGCCATTCTGTCTTGCACTAGATGCGGGATGGAAACTCTGCCTTGACCTGTGAACTCTCTGAAGGTGGGAAAGCGTGCCCCTAGGTAGTGGGCTAGGTAGTGGGCACGCCTTTGTGCTCTGTGCAAGGATTGTCAATCAACTGTAATGTGATGTTAGGGAGGTGATGTCATCTCTAAGATTTTTAAATCTATTTTATTGTGTGTTACCTTTTATTAATTTATGTTTTGGTGGTGTTGGGGAAGGACTTTCATGCTAGGCAAACACACTACAGCCGAGCCACGGCCCTAGCCCCCTGTGATACCTCGGTATCTCTAAAGTAACCGTGACTCAAGTTAGTTGCATGCTTTCCTGCCCTGCGCAGAGGCACTCAGAAATCACGCTCCATGCTCAACTCCCCATTTTACAGAGGACAAAAACTGAGGCATGGAGTGGGGTGGGGACGATGGATGACGTGTCCAAGTTAGCAGCCAGACAGGGACTTTGGCGCCCAGCCCAACTAAGAAAGCTGTAGGAATCCAAAGGGGAAATATGAAAGAGCCTTGCAAACTGTAGGCGCCTGGGGTGGGAAGCTCTGCGATGAAGCGTGGCAGAAAGAACGGGTGAGAGAGGAGAGGAAGACTTGGGTTTCCAGAGGGAGGAGGGAGGATGGGCCTCTGGAGAGAGGCCGCTTTGAGCGACAGGTTCGCGGTGGCTCCGCGGCACCCCGGCGGGGGATCTCCGGGTGAGGCCCGCCCCCTACCTGCCCCACCCCCAGTCCTGCCAGCGGCGGCGGTCCCTTTAAGAGTGGTCGAGGCGCCCCCTGGCGGCGGAACGCGAACAGCGCAGCGCGCGGCCGGAGCTGGAGCCGGAGCCCGGAGTCCGGAGCGGAGCCGGAGCGGAGCCGGGGCGGAGCAGGACCGGGGGTGGGGCAGGTAGGGGGCGGGCCTCACCCGGAGATCCCCCGCC